TGCTGAAAGAAACAGGAAAAGAAAATGATGAGTAGCTAACTAGCAAAACAGCCTGCGTCATAAGAAAAGGATTCTGCCTCTCCCACAAGTGGGATTTAGCAGCAGCAGCCACTGAGGCTGCAGCCAGAAGCAAGTCAGCAACTGTGCAGCAAGAGAAGGTGGGGCAGCAGGTGCTCAGCTTCCCTCTGAGCTGGTGAGCTCAACTGGGAGTGTTTTATGTACTAGTTACCAACATTAAAAATGCAAATAGAGTTTTGTTCTTTTTCCTTCCCCCAGATGTACATTCATAGTGACCCAGAAAGTAAAAAGTTTGAAAACCTCTGAAAGGGAACAGGTAACACTGAAATGAGGGAGACTGTATCTTACTTGAAACATCTCCTGGATAGCTATGTTTTTCTTTACTCAGCCATTACATTTTCTGCATTATCCATTATTGGAATTCATACCTTATTGACACTGTAGTTGCCGTGAGACACGGAACAAATGTCGCAGTGCCTGAGCCATGCCATACCTAGGCCCTTACGTCAGCTCTGAGGAGCTGCTCTCCACAGGCCAGCTCTGGTGATCTCCGTTCAGCCTCCCTCAGTCCTGCATGGCCCTAGGGACATTGGGCATGCCAGAGTCCTGCTCAAGTATCTGGTTTCTGTTCCTCATCTTCTGGGTGCTCATTTGGAGGCAGTCAAGGTTTGCAGTGCAGAGAAGTGGAATGCTTACCTTTATCACAAAAAGTAACTTTTTTTTAAACAGGTAAAGCACTATAACATATGAATTGACCGGGAAATCAGACGTAAAACACATGCAACTAGGATTTAAAGAAACGAGAAATGTAAAGGCAGTATGTTAATTGCTAAGACTCTGATTACTTGAAATTAAGACTACCTTCTTTGTTTTGTTGCAGGCATCACACAGGTGCCTGAAGCAAGGCTGGCAAAGGGGCTTCCCCGTGCCCTTCGCTGTGTGGCAGCACCTGCTTCTACTGTCTGAAAGTACACTTGCTGCTGGTGCTCCTCAGAACCACGGGAGACTTCACAGAGTAAAAACCTACTGTAAGCAGATCTGGACTTGCTCTGAACCACCTTCCAGCCTTAATAAATCTTGCTAGGCCTGTTGGCCTGCAAGCAGTATTGTGCTAGTGACACAGGCCCAGCTTTTGGATCCAAGCTGGCTGACATCTGGCCAGCTCCGGATGGGAAGCAGCACCCTCTAGTGCCTTTGCTACATCCTAAAAACTCACGGTCCTGTGAGACCCGATTCTGCAAGGGTGAGAAATGTATTCTCCGCAGCTTCAGAGTGCAGAGCATTTGAATTTCATTTAAGAGTCACAAATAAATGGCCTCTATATAGGTCACTGTTGGTACTAAGAATACATGGCGAGACTGGAGACATCCTGCAGCTGTGGGCAGACAGCTGGGATTTGTACCCACCTGAATGGATGGTGTGCAGGATCTCACCCTAGAACTGGATTGAGCTCTTCTAGAAAGCTTTAAGCAAGTGAAAGTAATACAAGAAAGACACTGACGTGCTGAAGCGAGTCCAGAGAAGGGAAACGAAGCTGGTGAAGGGTCTAGAGCATGAGTCTTTCAAGGAGCAGCTGAGGGAACTGGGGTTGTTCAGCCTGGAGAAATGGAGGCCGAGGGGAGACCTTATCACTCTCTGCAACCACCTGAAAGGAGGTGGTAGTGAGGAGGGGGTTGGTCTCTTCTCCCCAGTAACAAGCGATAGG